GAAAATAAAATATAAGTTCTTCATAAAACAAATAAAAGCGCCCAAGTCCCGTGCTACGTATCAGAGCATCCTAGACTCGACTGTCACACCATAATCCAAGCTAGCTAAGTACCTGGATTATCTGTACTTCCGGAGAAGCACAGACACAACAACAGCAAAGGGGTGAGAAATCATGATCAAAAATATAATGGTAATGTAATACATGTAATAAGGCAGTAAAACACACCAACACATCAATTATTCACCCCAACAACACCATATAACGAACCTACTGTTCAAATTACAATATAACATATTATAATGCAATTATGCAACTCAACACCATGCATGCGGTACCGACTCGTTGGTTCATTCAATCGAACCTGGATAGATCACTTACGCTCCTCCTGAGACATGATCTATCCCCCACCATTCTCCACAAAGGAGTACGGATGAATCACTTACGCTCCTCCTGAGACATGATTCATCCCACCAAAACACCATGATATGCAAGACACCAATGCATAATTATTATATTCTGGCACGCTAAGTGCACACGATCCTCCTGATCATATCATCATACAGCAATGCATATGTATAGATATATTACACCAACACCATATAAATCAATCAAATAGTAAACGAATTCATACTATCACACCGGATATAACTACGTCCCCCCACTCGGGGATACATGATCCTACTGATCACTACACACATATACATTAACTAATTGCTCACCAACAATATTAAGGGAAACGCGTACTATCACCAAGTACACAAGTTATATCTCATACTCATCATTTTCACACTACAGCAAGGCTAGAAGGATCACACGAGACCAATTCAGACATCTCACCAAAAGTCTCTGAGGTTACTCAGAACCTCCCTAAACCAACACCTCAGCCTATACACCAAAATCAACAATTCATCATATACACCAAAATCAACAATTCATCAACATCAATCCACAATCACAAACATGCCAATAGATATTATACTTACCAATTATCCTATAATTTCTACTCTAGAACCGACATTATGGTACATTACCGACACTTCAGAGTCACTCTGAATCTCACCAAGGTCCTAACCATAGTCGTTAACAAGACTATAGGGAAACAACACATAACTTTCCCAAAGCTATAATCATGGTCATTGCCAACACTACGGTAACAACACAGAATCTCATCAGCTTTATATTCCTAGTTACTATCAACACTACAGTAACATCAACAATCCAACAAAATGGATCAATACTACAGTAACATCAACAATCCAACAAAATGGCTCAACATTACAGTTACTATCATCACCATATATATATATATATATATATATATATATATATATATATATATATATATATATATATATATATATATATATATATATATATATATATATATATATATATATATATATATATATATATATATATATATATATATATATATATATATATATATATATATATATATATATATATATATATATATATATATATATATATATATATATATATATATATATATATATATATATATATATATATATATATATATATATATATATATATATATATATATATATATATATATATATATATATATACCAAAATGCATCATCAGCATTCATCAATCCCCCAACATCAACAATAATCATAGCATGCCAATATAAAACTTTATATAAGGATAAATTCCTACGGGGTTAAGGAATCCCCTCTACCCTATACATGTATAAACCATTCCCAATCAAATTTCTCCCCCCTTACCTGGATAATTATTCTGATCGGTGATAAATTCCTCCAAGATTCTTCATCCCTAGCCTTTTCCCTTTCTCTTTGTTCTTCGCTCTTCTCTATTCTCCCAATTTCCCTTCTCACGGTTTCTATCGTGCCTTTTCATATTTCCATTCTAACTTCCCCATAACCCTTCCACTTCTTATTTTACTTATTCCAACCACTAATATTCCCAATAATAATTCTAATAATAATAATTATAATAATAATAATAATAATAATAATAATAATAATAATAATAATAATAATAATAATAATAATAATAATAATACTATTGTAATATTATAGTAATATTCAACATAATAATAATAATAATAGTAATACACCCAACAATAATTATAATTATAATAATAATAATACTAATGATAATAATAACAATTATATTAATACTAATAATAAAATAATATTAATAATAATAATCTTAATATTAATAATACTAATATAATATTACTAATATTAATAATACTAATCATAATAATACTATTAATAATAATAATAATAATAATATTATTATTATCTCACCAAAATAATAATAATAATAATAATAATAATAATAGTAATAATATTATTATCTCACCAAAATAATAATAATATTAATAATACTAATAAATATAATAATATATAATAATAATAATAATACCCCCACCAATATTACTATTATTCATTATATTATCATATTCACACCAAAAATCATAATAATATAATAACTATATTAATAATAATATTATATTCTCCATATTAATAATATTACTACAAATATTAATAATAATCATAAATATAATAATAATAATAATAATAATAATACCACCACCAATATTACTATTATTTCTTATATTATTATAAACTCACCAAATTACCACCAATGATCCTCCCATCTCAGGGACACCCACCAAACATCATCAAATACACCCTACCAAAGGGTACATCAACATATAATATTTAAAATAATAATAAAATGACTAAATAATTAAAATGGGTGTTACAGTTTGCACAAGACCAGACATTGCTTATGCGGTAGGAGTTGTGAGTAGATTCCTATCAAACCCAAGAAAGGAACACTGGAGTGCTGTGAAATAGATATTGAGGTGTCTGAAAGGAACTGCCAAAAAATGCTTATGTTTTGGCAATGAAAATCAAATGCTCACTGGATATGTGGATGCTGATATGGCCGGAGATGTAGATTCAAGAAAATCTACATCCGGGTATTTGATTACTTTTGCAGGGGGAGCTGTCTCATGGCAATCACGACTACAAAAGTGCGTTGCTTTAAGTACCACAAAAGCAGAGTACATCGCAAGCACTGAAGGTTGTAAGGAGATGATGTGGATGAAGAAGTTCCTGCAAGAGTTAGGCCAAAATCAAAAAAGTTATGCTCTCTATTGTGATAGTCAAAGTGCAATTCACCTCAGCAAGAATTCGACATATCATTCAAGGTCAAAACACATTGATGTGAGGTATCATTAGATACGTGATGTGTTAGAGAATAAACTGCTGCAAATAGAGAAAATTCACACCAATGACAACGGGGCACACATGATGACAAAACCTCAACCAAAAGAGAAGATGGCGGCAACCCCAAACTAATCAAGGCATTCCCCTATGGCTGAAGGGGGGAGAAATGTGGGGTCCAACCATTGCCACATGGCCACCATACATTTGAAAAAATGGAAGGTTGCATGTGATGACAAAATAGCAAGGTGTATGATGTACACATGGTGTAGTGTATGAGTAACACATGTTGTGGTGCATGCATTAACACATGGTGTGGTGCATGTATTGCAAGGGACACTTGGTGTTTTGCATGAAAGGCAAATGATAAGTGTCTTCATGCATGTAAGACAACTTTGGCTTGCCTCTCCTATAAATAGGATCATAAGCAAACATTCACAACACACCACAAGAGAAGAACAACAAGTAGCAAGAGAGAAAGAAAGCATTGCTCAAGAGAGAAAATCCTCATAGAAAGTTTCTTGTGAGAGAAATAGTGAGCCAATTTGTGAGAGTGTTTCTTACAAATTGAGAGATACATTGTAGTAAGATCCACCTAAGGGTGAAGTTGTTGTATTCCCATTATCATTATAGTGGAAGTTTTAAGAGGCCCAAGGGTCCCGTGGTTTTTTTCGCTTTCTCACATTGAGAAGGTTTTTCCACGCTAAAATTCTCTTTGTGTCATTACGCGTTTATTTCATGTTTCCGCTAAGTGCATATTTTGAGTTCACGGAGGAGGGAAATTATGCAGGCATTTCCCAACAGATAGAACTCAGTATGGATGATTAACTTTTGTGACTGAGAAATGGAATGGAAAATGTTTCTCCTGTATGCAAAACATATACTATGCTTAAATCGTTGCATTCATGCAACTATATGGAAAGCTGTGAGAAGAAAGAGGTAGTTATATGAGTTTTTTGTTAAAATAAAAATGCATTGAAGAGTGATATAGGTTTATTGAGGCAAGACAACGTTCAATTTGCATGTGAATTTTTTGTTAAAAATAAAAGAAAAACATAACAAAATTATACGTCATACTTCATGAATGCCAAATGAAGTGATTTGAGCAAATGTGACTAATAACCTAGATTTAAGTTAAAATTAGACTTTTAATCAAAAAAATTTAGATACTTTACTTTTTTATAGATTTATAATAGATATTTAACATTTATTGAACATGCATATATCTCACTCCAAATAAATTTTTGACATTTACATGATAGATATATAACATACAAATATTTTACTCCAAAGAAAATTTTGACATTTATATTATAAATATAAATACTTTCATTATTTTATCCTTCAAAATTCATATTACATTAAATGACAACTGCGTTTCAATACCCGTGCATACGCACTTTTATCCCACTTGTTTCTCTAAAAAAAAATAAACGTGGTAATACTGCCGTCGTTCACGTGTCCAAGTTGAATGCAACGACGAAAGATTCCAGCTCATCATAGTGGAGACGAAACTAGAGTCGACATTAGACAACTTCATTTAGCCTCCCTTCTTCTCGTTTTCTCACGGCAAATAACAGCATAAGCTGAGAAAGTAAAGAGAATCAAATCAAACTAGTCCTTTCCGAGTCCATCTTCCTTCCCCGTGAAATCGTTTACTCCATTTTATTACATTACCCACTTGTCAGTTTCTCTTTTATGATTTGGTCCCCATTCACTCACTTACTCTTTATGTCTCCTAAGCCACACTCCCAATCCAACTAAACAAACAATGACTCTTCGTTTTTTTCTCTTCTTCTCCATACTCACCACAGTTTCCATCGCTCTCCCATACGGTAAGCAACCACCTCCAGATTCACTCTCCTCACGTGCTCTAACTAACTAACTCATTCTCATTCATTATTTATCATCATCGCAGGTATCTCCTACCACATTGACTGTGGCACTCCAACAAACACCACCGACTCCTTCAACACAACCTGGCTCTCCGACCGTTTCTTCACCGGAGGAACTACCGGGATCGTCTCTGAGCCTCTCCGCTTCCACCACCGTCACGAGAAGACTCTCCGCTTCTTTCCTATTTCCTCCGGCAAGAAGAACTGCTACACAGTTCCTTTACTCTCCACCTCCTCACGCTACCTTGTCCGCACCTTTGTTGTCTACGATAACTACGACGGCAAGTCTCACCCTCCCTCCTTTGACGTCTCCGTCTCTGGCACCGTCGTCTTTTCCTGGCGTTCTCCCTGGCCTCAATCCCTCGCCCGTGACGGAGCCTATGCTGACCTATTCGCTTCCTTTCAAGAACAAGCCCTAATCTGCTTCTACAGCTTCGCCACCGATCCTCCCGTCGTTTCCTCGCTTGAGCTCTTTGCCGTCGATCCCGCATCTTACGATTCCGCTTTCGTTGCCATCAATGATACCATACTTGTCAACTATGGTCGACTCTCTTGCGGATCTAATCAGTGGGGTCCGGGCTTCACCAACGATGCGGACAGGTTTGGAAGGTCGTGGCAATCCGATTCCGAGTATCGAACCGGCCGGAACAAGGTAGTTGCGGTATCCACCAGGAGTAGTATTCTGAGAGCTGATCAGAAGCCCAATTACTTCCCGACCAAGCTGTACCAAACAGCAGCAACTACGGCGGAGACTGCCGAGGAGGGCGGTGGCGTGTTGGAGTACGAATTGAGCGTGGATGCTAAATTGGATTACCTTGTGTGGCTGCATTTTGCCGAGATTGAGGATAGGGTGAGGAAGGTTGGAGAGAGGGTGTTTGATGTGTTCATCAATGGTGACAATCTGACAAGAGTGGATATTTACAAGCAAGCCGGAGGTTTAGCTGCATTTACTTGGCATCACACGGTGAAAAATTTGAGTAGCAGCTCGTTGAGTGTGAAGCTTGTTGGAGTTGTGGGTGCACCTCTCATTTGCGGGATTGAGAATTATGCTTTGGTCCCTGGAGATCCTTCTACAGTTCCTCAGCAAGGTGTGTCATCTTTGTTGATTATATTTGGAGAAAATTATTCTTTCCATTTAATTTGACAGTTTCTTTCCATTTTTTTTCTTCATGTTTATGCAATTTAGAAACTTTGTTGCCCAAAGTTATTATGATATTTGTTTTCTTCTTTTGGTAACTTGTTAATAATTGTGTGTGTGTGAGAGACTGTGAATTGATGTCATCAATTGTGTGTTAATGGAAATTTGGTTTAGGAGCTATAATTATGAGTTGCGTGCAAATATAGTTAACGATTATCTAGACATTAATGTGTTTCTTTCATCTTTTATTCCTTCAATTTTTTTGGGTAATAATTTTATTTACCGATGTGAATGATGGGAAGGGTAAGTGGTCAAAATTTTGTTGACTGATGAGCAACCACACAGGAATTGTGGTATGTGAAGGTTATTGTTTTTAAGAAAAAGATAATTTTAATTTTTGGGTGCAGCGATTGCCATGAAAGCATTGAAGGATTCTCTTCGAGTTCCCGAAAGAATGGGTTGGAATGGTGATCCATGTGCTCCTACTAATTGGGATGCTTGGGAGGGAGTTACCTGCCGTATGAGTAAGGATAATACTGCTCTTGTCATAAGTCAAATGTAAGCATTCCTTTTATGTTCTCCTAATTTACGCATTTGAGTTCTTGATTGTTTTTATGAAATATACTTGGTAGTGCTATGTGGGTAAGGAATCTCACTTAATAATTGACTTGCCAAACTTTTTATGTAAGGTTATCTGATGGGGTGGGTTCCATGTTTTAAATTTACATATGGTGGTTAAAACTAAAAGACCCGTGATATCCTGCTGTTATAGCATTATATAACAAAGGTTTCTGATTTTTTTTTGTACAAAACTACAAATTTTATTTTCCTTTTCTGCAAACACCTTTGGGGCTTATCAGCAGCACTCTTTTCCCGAAAAGCCTCAGTAGGTAGTGAACATGGGTTTATTTCCCATTCCACAATGCATAATTAAATTTCTGAAAGGTAAATAAAATAAAAAGTGGTAATTACAATTTGTTTCTTGTTCTGACAACAATTGTAATTTTTTTTATTTATTTATTTTTTCATTCCAGAGATCTGGGCAGTCAAGGCTTGAAAGGGTTCATAAGCGACCAGATTAGTCTTTTGTCGGACTTGGTAAGCCTGTAAGTATCAGTAGCCAAATGTTTATATATGCTAGTAATATTTCTCTTCACGTGGCTTGGATGTTTTGAGGTTAACATGCACTAATATGAGGTTGTGTGCTAAATGGCCCAGGTCTATAAAATTTCTGATTTGTGATGTATTTTATATGCTCTAGCTGTGGTCCTGGTCCGTTATTATTCTGTATCCTAGTTTCTTCTGTATGAACTAACATAGTCAAGCTCAAGAGTATTCACAAAGCTTCCTTTCTTAAGCCCACAAGTTTACCTAATAATATATTTTTTTTAAATGTTGATCAGGAAAATATTCTGTATCACAGTATCAGAGAACAACATTTTAGTCCTTATCCTCTTACTTTCTCAGGCGCATAAACCTTCTAATGGCAACTGAAATATAATTGAAGTGCCAAAATTGAAAGAACAGACAAAACCAGAACTTATTAAGACATGCTTTAATCGGAGCAAACAAACTATTTCAAACTCAATAATGGGAAAGAAACACAAGTAACATTACATTGCTAAATTGTTTTGATCATCATCCCAATGTAACAAACACAACTGATCGACGAGTGTGGAAATGCATAGAACACAACATAACTAGGTCTGGAGCATAAACAGGAAGTTGAGATGAAACAAAACACATGAAACTTAGTCATCTTTAAAACTTGGGAGCACGTAACACTAAGAGATAAGATTAAAGAGAATGATGAGATAATTTGGCTTGATTCAAGACAACACTTTTCTCTTTCAAGAATCACGACCTGGAATTGATGGGTCATGACTTGGAAATGTTGAAATTGATTTTATCACGCAGCTGTTTATGAATTGAAGCCTCCAAAGATTTGATTAAATTTTGGTAAAACATGATGTTGTACAAGATGTTCCAATAAGAAGAAATCTGTAAAGAGCATGTCAAACAAGATGTCCTAATATTGTGGACTCGACATTTTGGTCTGGTGCAGCAGATTTGTTGTAGATCTGTTCTAAGATTTAAGGTGCAATCAGAACGTGGATCAAGGAAAGATTGGATAGAGACTTCGAAGCCCATGGACTGCTGAAGGCTATAAAAGGAAGACCAAGACCTAGGGCATAAAAAGAGAGAGAGAGACCTTGTAACAAATTCTTGTAAAGTAATTATAAGAGTTTAGGGTTTTGAGAGTCGTGTACTTGTGTTGTAAGTCACCCTTTGTATCGGTTGATACATTGTGGTAGACATAGTTTTACATATTCAAAAACCTGTAGGTAATGAATTGTATATTGTTCTTGGATGAAGCTTTTAAGCAAATCCATGCATGATTGTTAATCAAGAGTCTTGACTGAGTATTGTATTGAGAGGGGTGTCTTTCAATTGAACAGTTTGTTACAGTCACCGGAGATTGTGACTGTTAGATATCACTGAGGTGATTTAGGAATTGAGATGAGTTTCTCTTATTTAGATGGTGATTTCTAGATAGAATTGTACTGGGTAGGGATTAAGTGAGGAGTTGTAAACGGGGGAGTTTAGCTCTAAATTAATACTAATACTGGATTCATTCCTTGCTTGGTAGCCCCTAGATATTGGTGTTGTTGTTCACCAAACTGGGTCATCATATCTTGGCGTTATTTATCATTCTGTTATGAATATTTCAGTTTTGTCTCTTGCTGTAAAATTCATGTCTTAACAGATGCCGAAACATCTGTCATCGCACTGTTTTGCTTTTGACATATTAGTTTGTTCTGGTATGTTCTATTAGGTCCTTGTTTAGTTATGCAGAGACCAATGTCTCGACATCTCTTGGGACATCTGTGATCTGTATACCAAAAGTTCAATTGGTATCAGAGCAGACATCCTGTTCTGTTTCTGGATGAGTTTTAGGGAGGATACGTTCTGGTCTTTTGAACAAGGAAGGAGATTGTGTGATAAGATCATCCATTGCTGTTGTCCTCAAGGAGATTGGAAGCTAGGAGGATAGTTTTCTGAATCTGGCCTGACAATTACTGATGGTTGACTGAGTGCTCTGTGAAGATTCGTCCGCTGTTGCTGATAATGATGCTTGTGTTAAGCATGATTTCTTATAAAATGTTCTGACATCTGTGCTGGCTTGTTGAAGATGGTGCTGAAGCAAGTATTGTGATGTCTTCCTCTGAAGGATCGTCCTATGTTGCTTGGGAGACGAGGTCAACCAGGTACTATGAAGGGTAGCTCAAGATACTTGGTCCTCTCTCAAGTCCACTCATAAAGGCACTGCCGAATGTGTTCAGAAGAGAAGATGGTATTCTAAGGAATATTTGTGCCTTGAAGATTTATTTCTAGGTTGTTGATTGAGTAAGGAGGGGTGTCTTATGACATTTTGTGACTGAAGAATACAAAATTGAAATTTAAAATCAATTGCTATTTGTGGCTTTAACAAGTATTTAATTGATTATTCTTCTTGATTGGTGATGTCAAAAGTGTCACTCCTGAAGGTGCAGCTTCAGACAGGGCAAGAACTCAAGATCCAATGACTTGGTCATGGGAAAAGGACCCGATGTTCAACCAAATGTGGAAACATCACTTCTGAAGAGTGCATACAAAATCTTGTTGATCCAAGGAGTGATCTTCTCGGACAAAAGAGAGATGTAGCATATGTTCTGCAGGATAAACAAATGTGTGTTTACCAATAGTGTTGGAAATCTTCTTCAGATTGGTCTTAAAGAGTCTTTTGGTCTGTAATCTAGGAAGCCTCTATCCAAGAGTTTTGTCTTGTGTTTGTATGGTGGTGAAGATGAAGATCAAGACACCATTTGCGTTGGTGAGTTTTCTTTAGGTCAGTTTATTTCTGATCTGGAGCTAGACTTCTGGTATTCCATTGAAGGATCTTGTGGCGTACTTTATGTTGAAGGGCTGTGAAGACATCAACAAGTTTCTGTGCACATGGATGTCAAGGAAACATGTCTGGGACATTCACTCTGACATCTTAAAGACTCTTCTGGTCTTTCAAAGTTGAATATGAGTGATCTTGTTGATAGCCGTGACTACGTCTTCTCTTTGTTTGAGTCTGGTGGGGACACTGATCGTATGTGGATCATTTCCTTGGAGAATTGTGCTTAAGGCAGACTGTCATCAAGGTATTTGTTCCTTCTCTTGAGTTATCTTGAAAAGGACTGGTTGTTGTCTTTCAATGTACATGATGAAGGTTGTTTACTCAAACTTGATTTCATGATCAAGTCTATGAGAACATAAAACTCCTGTTCTGTCATGGTTGAAAAGACTCACAAGGTGGGATAATGTCTAGAAGTCTAAGGGTTAGATCTTCAAGACTGTTTCAGGCATGTGTGGTTTCATCAGTTGGCTAGTTAAGTCATTGATGTAAATAAAATGTTCTGATATTGGACCGATCATCAGGATGTTAAAGTTGAAGGCACTTGTGTGCATTGGAGTTGTACCATCGTGTTGTTAGCTGATCTTCTTAGGAGTGGTTGCTCTCTAATTATATGGCTGGTGCTAAAGTCTATCTCAACATTTGTGAATCATGCAATGGCAAAAGCTCATGGGAGTTGCTGATTGCTTGGTGCTTTTATATCTTCTTCTTGGAGTCTCATCTAAGATGTTTAATATGAGTGTTACAGAGTTCTGTCTGGGGTAAGGGGGTGTTAGTACTGGAAGCTCAAGTTCTGTTGTTCCCACATGATCAAGGATCTTGTGAAAGGTATTCTGATTGGTTACTTTGAAGGAAAGTGTTATTTGAGTGTGCTCCAAGGAAATACCTACTCAAGCCTAGGTTTATGATGTCATTAATTGTTGAAACATTAGCTCTTGCTAGTACTAATGTGCTTTGGCTTGTGGTGTACTGTGCAAAGTGGAGGATAGACGATTGAAGGTAGAGGAGAAGCAAACCTCGCAGAGAAGTCTGTTTTTGGTTTGATGCTCAATATATACCTTTATGCTTATTGTCAGTCATACTGGTATCTGTCAGAGAGAATCTCCTCTTTGGATGCTTAAGGGTGGGTGCTGACTTTGTAATGTCAGACAAGATGTTTGGACTTTGTGCTTCTGGGTTGAAGTTTTATGAGGCTCGTGAGAGTTTATTTCTCTATATAGTATTCTGTCTTATGTGATGGGACTGCGATCTGTGCTTGAAGATTAATCAGCTGATACTGTGACCTATTAAGATCTTCTTGTGTATCTTAATAAGGTGTAAGAATTACTATGCAAATGGTAAGTCCTGTGATTGGTGTTGATGTCCTAAGTGATGTTGGAATTATTCATGCTATTGGTTTTCCTTGGAGGATGACTGAGTTTGATTTTCATCTTAGAGCTAATGGTCAAGATTGTATGGATTCTGAGTATCTGTAAGTGGATAGTAGGTTCTGCTAGAAGTATCTCTAGAAAAGATTGTATCAGGCTGTATCTTAAGAAGGAAGCAGACTGAGGATGTATCTCTCTTCTTATAGAAAAGGGAGTTGATGTCTTCCAAGTGTGGATGACATCTTGGTTAACCAAGGAGTTAAGAGAATGTATATGTCTCTTTCAGGAATGTGACATTCCAGGCTTGTTTGGATTTACTCTCAAGAACAAGGTTGTCCTAAGTGGATAGTAGGTTCTGCTAGAAGTATCTCCAGAAAAGATTGTATCAGGCTGTATCTTAAAAAGGAAGCAGACTGAGGATGTATCTCTCTTCTTATAGAAAAGGGAGTTGATGTCTTTCAAGTGTGGATGACATCTTGGTTAACCAAGGAGTTAAGAGAATGTATATGTCTCTTTCAGGAATGTGAACATTCCAGGCTTGTTTGGATTTACTCTCAAGAACAAGGTTGTCTATGACTGTAAGGTTCAAGATGGATTTGTACAGTGTGTGGATGTGTCCTGGGGGAGAATGATCAATGATGATTGTTGATCTCAATCCAAGAAGTCTTTTGGTTATGGTACAAGACTGGTGCTTCTGCTTTGTTTCTTTCTCTCATGAGCATGAAGGTATTCATGTGATTCATGTGAGATTGTGTTGTCAGACTAAATGTCTTAACATCATGGTGTGTTGGTACTT